TGTGTGTGTGTTCTGAATTTCTATTATAAGAAATTTACTATTCCACACCTGAGCCAAATAGTTGTATGATTAAACATTAGCATTCAATTAAAAAGACTTTGCATCGGAATTATCTTTGAGAATTATATTTGATTATTTTGCCACAACTATATTCCATTATATTTTACATTTTCTAGGCACACAAAACATGGTGTTAGTCGCTCAATTACTATGATACCTTGATCATTCTAACAAGGAAAAAAATATGAAAACTCACCTCTAGTTGTTCATCCTTGTTAATCACTTGCTCGGTAATGTGTGCCGCTATATGGCCCCTTCTATTATTACGTATAATTGGAACCATCCCCGTCGGGCATTCGACGATCGACAGATGTGCTTGTAAAACACCATTTGGGGAGGGAGATTTTATCCTCTGTCCAACAGGTAAAGAACTTGGTTCCATCTGTTTGATAATAAAACTTTAAAGCCTTATTAGTCCCATAAATATTACCAACACACAATCACATATAAAAAATTTGCATAGTTTAACTGATTTCTAATTAAGCATGCATATCATAAGGTTTTTTTAATTGACCCCAACTTCCATTGTTTGTACACGTATAGGTAAATAATAGATAAACAATTTGAATCTAAAGGGAGTAGAACAAACTATGGTATGAAATTTTACAATTCAAAACAAAGTATTATCGCATAATAGATGATCTATTCCCTCAAATTTGATGGCTAACTAACATTCATGTATTTTTTTAAAACTAACTATTCATTTATGTCTTCCGTCGTGAATCGACGTCCATTTGAGCAACATAATGATTGTATTCATATCTTCATGAACGTAATTTACCTGAATTTTGTGATGTTTCAACAATGGGTGGCCCAAAGTAGGCTGGACATTCACATCAATGCAATCATATACATCTCCACCTTCCATCTAGTTTTATGTTCATCTGCTTGTTAGCCAATGAAACCAAAAAGCTTATAAATATATATATGATGAGTAATTGTTCTTACCATGACAATTTTATTAACTTTTCGATGGGCAAGGATCTGGCTATCATTTTCCCTTTCCATTGTAGTCGTATCTATTCCTCTGGTTGCTAGAACAAGAAATGAGAGTAGAAGGAGCGCTCTAATAGCTTGACTTTCTTTCATTTTGGAAACCATGAATGGTTAACTTTCATACTGCATATGAAATATATTTATAAGCTTTTTGGCATATCAATAGTTTAATGGTTGTCATTGATGCAATTAATGTCCCAAAGATCGAATTCTTTTATATGCATATACAACCATATTTAATGTCATAAGATAAAGATATGTATCTCAGTCTATGATCATATTTATTGCATAAATCTCAGATTTTAATGACATACAGAAAGTATGTAGTATTTAATGCAGAGAAATATCCATACCTATCCATTATATTTATTCCGGATATTCAAATGTGATCATTCTTGCTCTCTCACCCACTCATCCCTTCCTTTTATCTAATCACACATCACATAGGGATCGCAACTGGTCGTGTTTGGACGGTAGAGCTAAAATAGATCTATAGCCATATATCTATGAGCCTGGCCACCCATGAAAGTATCCATGGGCCACAGATGATGTCCACACCTACACCACTAGATATCCAGATATACCAGGATACACTTGGAAATTCATATCCATGTAGCAAACAACAATGGTAATAAAAAGGTTGCAGAGCATCATACAAAATAAAAATTAACAACTTTGCGCACCAGCACAACTACAAATGTCAGACCAAAATATGGTTAATACGTAATGGTCGATACGGAGTTAGCACATGTTTTATGACCCATGTCCATCTGTGTAACAACCGAGACCGGTTCTCTAGATTCTTTGCATAATATAATTATTAAATCACATTAACTTTCTTCGTTGCATTCATCACGGCATCATCCATCTTGCATCGGCAATCTGTTGCCGTTGTACTGGAGTTATCCGGGTATTTTTACTTTTTACATAACTTAGTCATTGGTAGTTTGCCACTTCTCGAGAAGAGGTAAACTTTACCCCTTGTCTCCATTGACCTTTTTCAGGCCAACTGGACACTTGCATGTGACCGCGAGATTATCTAAATATTATTTTTGTAAACAGAGATTAAACATTCTTGATCGTAACGTGTCAGAAGTTTGCGAACCAACCCGTGGTTGGATGGTTAGAGGGACTGTGCACTAGTAGAAAAGGGGGCAATGGTCCAGGCCGGGCCACCCCATTAGTCCCGGTTCAGTCCAGAACCGGGACCCATGGGGCATTGGACCCGGTTCGTGAGCCCCGGGGGCCGACCGGGCCACATGGGCCATTGGTCCCGGTTCGTCTGGACCTTTTGGTCCCGGTTGGTGGGACGAACCGGGACCAATGGGCCTCACCACCATTGGTCCCGGTTGGTGGTATGAACCGGGACCAAAGGCTGCCTTTTAGTCCCGGTTCATGCCACCAACCGGGACTAAAGGGTTGGTCCTCGTTGCGGTTAGTCTTTAGTCCTACCTCGCCAACCGAAGGGTGTTCACACCGATTTATAAGCCCCTCCCTCTCTGCCTTGTTGAGCTGCTCTCAAAGTGAAAATAGATGCTCTTATACAGGGAATTTGACCTAAATTCATACTGAATTTCTCTGAAGTTAGTAGAAATTTATTATGAATTTAGGTTGAATTCTCTCTATAAGCGCATCTATGTTGATTTTTTTAGTAAAGTTAATCACAATTATTTTTTCTTCTATTTATTTCTGAGTAGTTTTTTATATAGTTTTTTCTTTTGTGCTATATTTATTTTTTTCTATTTATTTCCGAGTTGTAATAAGTCATTAAAAATAAAAAAGAGGCACAATGCTCGTTAATTAGCTTCAAGCCTTTCGTAATAGTGTAAACTGCATCGCACATAGCTTCGTGCAGTCTACCCTAATCCTCAAGGCTTGAAGCTAAGCAACATGCAGGTGAGCATTGAGCCTCTTCTTCATCGTCTCTGCACTCAGGGCTTATAAACCGCTGCGAGTGCCTCTCGCTTGGCGAGGTGAGACTAAAAAACAGCTGCAGAAAGAATCAACTAAAAAACAGATGCAGAAAATAAGTAAGTAATTAGATGGGTGCATTGGTACCGGTTGGAGGCAACAACCGGGACCAATGCCCACCTTTGGTCCCGGTTCGTGGAACCAACCGAGACCAATGCCTCCCCTTTAGTCCCGGTTGGTGCCACCAACTGGGACCAAAGGTCTCTGTTTCCCGCCCTTTGGGCTACTGAAAAGAGGCCTTTGGTTCCGGTTGGTGGCACCAACCGGGACCAAAGAGGGCATTTGTCCCGGTCCGTGGCAAGAACCGGGACTAAAGCTTCATGTATATAAGGCACACTTGTGAAAATTTTGGTTTGCATCTTGCAGTTCGCCCCCGACGACGCGTGCGAAGAGGACGCCGCCAGGCTGCCGGACACCGTCGCCGTCGCCCCCGCCCCGGAGCCCACGCCGACCCCGTCGCCGTCCGTTGCCCACGCCGTCGCCGTCGCCCCCGCCCCGGAGCCCACGCCGACGCCGTCGCCGTCCGTTGCCCACGCCGTCGCCGTCGCCCCCGCCCCGGAGCCCACGCC